ACAAAGCCCAGGAGGGGCCTGGGAGGGAACACCTGCAGTGCTCACAGTCACACTTAGCAGCAGATAATAAACATGCAGTAAGGATTAAAGTGTCGCTTTGTAACACTGCAGACATCACAAGACATCCCGTTCTTGCTGGAAGTGATGAAGCACGCAGCCATCTTCACACTGTCTATTAGGCTGATCGTGTATTTCCGGTATGCCGGCCATCTAACTGGCTTTGGAGAATATATTTCTTCAAAGCCTAATACTAAAAAGGCTCTCGTTGTTCCTTATTATTTAATTACAGTAATTAGCATTTCACAGTGTATTAATCTGACAACCAGAACTGCTGTTACCCAGAAGGCCTCATGCGACCCTCTGCAGTGTGTCTGCCACATTTTCACACGGCACTCTGGGCAGAAAGCCTAAAAGCCCACTGATTTTATTGTATCTGAAATAAAATATGGAACAGAGCTGCGTCACACAGAACACTGTCTCGTGGCAAATGAATAAGTGGTGTCCATTCATCACTAAAACTCAAATTACACTGTAATTGTATAACAACAGTCCCCATCTTTGTTTTTCTTCTGCTTGAACCCTTTGTTTGAAGCTGCTGCATCATGCACTGACTGTGACATTTAACCAAAAGAAACCACACTGACCCTTGAAGAAGTCACCATTTAATTAATCCAGCAATCTGAGACGTAGGATTGGTTGGGTGTGAAGAGAACGAAAGGGGAACCGTTTGTCTCAGCAGTTGGTCTCAGGGAGTCGCAACGGACAATCTGGTGTTTCTGTGCAGGATATGTGAACCAAAAAAATAAAAAATCTTCTTGTTTTTTTTTTTAGCGTTTGAAGCGAAACATGAGAAGACGAGGCCTGCTTCACTGAGCATGAACATGCATGCACATGACAACACGGGCATTAAGCTATAATATAATTTTATTTATACACTGCCCTGTGGGATGCCAACATAGGCACAGACTAGCATGCCATCTGCCACCCTTGCCTGACTTTCTCTCTCCTTTCCCCAAGCTTCATTCACTCTTCGTTCCACCTCACTGGCCTCTCCGCTCAGTCTCCTTCTGTTTTTTCTTCTGTTTTCTCACTTCTGTCACCATTTTCGCATCTACAGATATTACCTTTGTCACGTAAAGGAATGTTATTTTACTGTCACTATGTTATTATTCACATGCACGGTCATTATTTCATCATTACTTCATTAGTCTGTATCACTTATCATCAGGTTATCATCAATATTATCATGTATCATTTATCATTTAGTATATTTGCCAGAGCACGCAGAATAAAACACATTCACAGTAAGTCAGATGAGGACGCTGAACTTTCATTAGCCTGGACCTACAATCTTACACAACGGCACACTCGTCTTACACAATTGTTATGTTCCCAAATACTGATGATTGGAAACATCTGGTTTTAAGTCTGGGAAAGAGTTGTTGTTCTGAAG